GTATAGAATGAAGTAGGAGGAAAGATGAGAGTAAACAGGGTTTGAAAATTTGTGTATTTTTCGTCAACAATATTCAACTGCGGGGCACAGAGTGGGTGGATATTTGGGTTTAACCGGAACAGGAGTTCTTTAAGGAAAAAATAACATACATTGAAGGGACGAAGTACAAGAGAGTAAAGATAGCCATTACATAATACAAATTTATATTATATAATATAGACTCTAGGCTGGATAATGATGATGAAGAAAGTGAACAAGAAATGGATTCAAGATTTCCATGGAGTCACAGAATTTCTGTGTTGGGAATTTAATATAAGGTGGATTGGTAGGAAAGGAGGTGGGAAGTGGTGTGATAGGGTACATAAAAGACAATTGTTGGTAATATCAGGTTCATGATATGCCTATCCTCTTTCACAATATAAAAGGAGAAATACAAATGAGGAAATAACGACAGAAAATATTGTAAAATCCTTAGACCCTTCTTTCAAAAACAGGAGAAGCCCACAGAACTAACCTGATCTGCTATCCTTTATTAAGATTTACTATGCTAATGATAAATAGATCTAAGATCTAACAATAAAATTTCTGTTCATAGCAAAGCCGGAATTGTAAAGATATTACATTCTGTGTGTGTGTGTGGGGGAGCAACTTAAATAATACATGACAATTCTTCTGTAACTCTCCTCTTTTAATTTCACCGTTTCTATCACCCTTCTGTGTTCTCCCTACCCACTGTTTATTTTTAACTCAGACTGATTTCAAGAATAGATACACTACGGTAGATTGCACTCCAGAAGGCTAGGAGCCAGAAGATAGAAACTATATACAATAAAAAAAATGGGATTATAAATATGATGAAGATTAGAGTTTTATTGAAGTAAGAAATGAAAGTCAACACAGATGGTCCAGATTTCTATCACGATTTAAATTTTAACTGAAAAATACAAAGCTTACAGGTACAGTGTGGTTTTGAATATTATGTCTTCCAATATTTCTTTATTTCTTTTCTTATTTCTTAATGACTCATTTCATTTAACTTAATATCTTTTGTTTTTTAGTAAGTTGGGAAAAGATCCCTAAGAGATATAGGAGAAATTCTAGGATAATATGTGTCTAATTTGGTAGATAGTCAAATGAAATCTTTGAAAAGTCCCTCTGGCTGTCTGTTTCTCTCTTTTACACACACACACACAGCATTTTCTTATAAAAAAGAAAAACACACAAAATGATGACTTTCCTGGACAACATATCTTCCTTGTTCCATGGCTTCATCTCATGGGAGTAAAAAAAAAAAAAACACTTTACAAAACCCAGTCATTTGAAAAATCCTGTCCCAGTTATCTTTTCTATTTCCCTCCTCTCCCGCCTATCCCAGTTATCTTGAGTACAATATCAAAAAACAGAAAATTTGTAAAAGATTGAGAGTGTTCAAAGTACTAAAAAGTGTTTTTACAAAACCCTTTATAATCATTTTGTTTGGATACCTTTGATTAAATATGGAAAGATCAATTAAAAATTCAAATCGGATGATACCAATATCACTCACTAATACCTAAGGTGCAGGGATATACCACTTAAACCACCTTATAACACATTCATAGCTCAAAATCTTACCTTTGTTCCCAAATTTGTCAAGTTCCTGGATATTTTCTGTCTTACTGGAGTCTTGGAATTTCAGATCTGCGTAAGTCACTTCTTCAGACATTGATAGATATGCAAAGAAAGCGTGATCAAGTGTGAAAAAAGCAAAAAGGTAAGGGTGAGAAAACAGAGTTGAATGTTAAACAGGATCTATGATTTTAAACTTCTGTTTATAAACGAAGCTTAAATTTGCAAGCTTAAACTTTTGTTTATAAACCTACTGTACCCCTCACCCGTAAGTCTGCAAACCAGCTGCAACCTATCTGTGATCTCAGACAAGAACTGTTGCAAAAGGGAACAACTTTCTTCCTCATATTTCTTCCTTTTCCTCATTTCTATATGCCTACAGAAAGTAATTTTTTTGTTGTGTTTTTGGTTTTTTTTTAAGACAGAGTCTCACTGTGTTGCCTGGGCTAGAGTGCCGTGGCGCCAGCCTAGCTCACAGCAACCTCACACTCCTGGGCTCAAGCAATCCTTCTGTCTCAGCCTCCCAAGTAGCTGGGATTACAGGCATGCGCCATCACGCCCGGCTAATTTTTTCTATATATTTTTAGTTGTCTGATTAATTTCTTTCTATTTTTAGTAGAGACGGGGTCTCGCTCTTGCTCAGGCTGGTTTCGAACTCCTGAGCTCAAACAATCCGCCCGCCTCAGCCTCCCAGAAAACTAGGATTACAGGCGTGAGCCACCGCACCCGGCCCAGAAAGTAATTTTTGAAATTGCATTTGGACAATAATATTATTGTCATGCAAGGGTGCACAAATAACTAGCATCGCATGGTGCAGATATAGCATAGAATTTATTGGAGAAAAACTTTCAGGCAGAGAAATCACAGAGAGGGAGCAGTTCTGGAACATTCACTAATCCACAGCAATAGCTTGGCTTAGATGTTCCGTATGTATCATGGTGAAGACACAGAGAGAAGGGTCGCCTTAGCCAGGAGAGAGCACTTCCAAAGAGACTGAGAGAGTAAGCACCATCCCTTCACGCTTTCACGTGGGTATAGATTTGCCTAAAAGGAGCTAAGGGACACCTAGTTTCTCCAAGTAACAAGATATACATTGAGAAATCTAGGGCCCAGGAACGATGCCTGGAAATATGTATACCGATGGCCAAAGTCTGTATATTGAGGGTTCTGGGAGCAAGTAGGAGAATTAAGATCAGCCGTGATATCTCTTTAGAGACTCCACCCATTTGAGCCAGTCCTTAGCTGAGCTACCAAAAGGGGAAGGGAAATGAGTCTCCAGTGTCATCCAGATTTGGGTCTTATCATTGTGATTCAAAATTCTTAGTAGTCTTGACCTCATTTTTTGATCAACTATGCAAGTGGAGGTCAGGAGTGGGGAAAGACTGTTTTTAAGTTTTCCCCTAATTTTCATTAGTAAATCTTACTTTAAAATTCTTATTGGGATTGCCGCATGTAAATAATAGAAAAGGGATAGACATTATTGTTTTTTTACCATAGAAGAGACTGTATGAAGATTTTTTTAATTAATAAAAAATTAACTGCTTTATTATGTTAGGAGACATAGTAAAAAATAAAAGGGCCCTTTGTAAGCGCTACTAAAAATGGGTGAAATAAACAGAAACAAAAAAATCACAGATACAAATTAACTAGAAATGTGTACAAACAAAATGAAAAACTTTAAAACTATTAAGGAAAAACTAAAATAGGAAAACGTGCTTTGAATTAGAAGTATCAATACTGTTAAAAATGCAATATTGTATCAATATTATAAAAAATAAGATCGATTACAAATTTATCAAAAAATTCAATGATGTCAATTCAATTAAAACACTAATAGAGTTTTTTCTTGATACTTAAAAAAGGCTATTAAAGTTCATATGAAAATATAGCCATGAAAATGTTAGCAGCAAAATTGAAAGGAAAATATATTCAAAACATATAATGACTATTTCATCCTGAGTACTAATGCTGGCTTCATCTTTACAACACTTTAAGTCAGGTCCTTTTATTATCACCCTTACTTTACAGATGGGGAAGTGAGCTGCAATTTGGTTAAGTTTTTGTTCAATATCACACAGTTTGTAAGTGGTGGAGTTGAGACTGAACCAGAGAATCCTGGCTGCCTTGTTCAAATACATATTCACATACTATCATCCTTCTTCTGGTGAAAAAGACTAACCTCCACCCTTCCTAGGTGGATCAAATATTTGTATATAAAGAATAAAAACATTGACATTTTAGAAGAAAACACACATCTGCAGATTTATTTATCATCATCTTTGAGTAGGGAAAACCTTTCTAAACAAGAAAGAAAAAGCCATTAAAAAGATTGGCACCACTGACAATACAAATATTAAATTTGTTTATGTGGCAAAATAAAATGAAAATATTGAAAAAATTGAAAACAGTATTACA